CAGAGTCCCACCCAAATCATCTCATTCGTGAGACAGCTGCCTATGCAGCCCCTATCCACACTCGCTATAGTGTGCGTAGACCGAGAAACTCTCTCTCGGACTCCCCCAACAAGCTTTCGGCTGACCTTAACTGCCTCCTGGCGGCTCAGGCCGAGCCTATATAACACATCCCTTAATCTGCCTTAGTTAGTCACACTTCTAAGCGGCTTTTCGCCGCTTGCGCCCTCCTTTCTGCCAAGGAGGATCGAGTTCGTATACGGCTTAGAGATCTCTAGTTAGACCGTTAAGCCAGTCCCTAAAAGGCGGTGTTTAGTGGGTAAAAGTCTCCACATAACCACGCAGCCGGCTGCGTGGTATGCTATGAGCATTCACCGCCTCCCTCCCCCGCTTTCCGGAGGGTTGCCCATATTTGCTTCGGGCGAAAAAAAAAACCTCTTTTGGTGTGCTAGTTTCTTGGTCAAACCTTAGATTAAAACGTTAAGTTGAGGCACATTATTTAAAATTACTTCATTAATGTTATCTATCTGTTAATATAATTTCCTATACTATAATTGTAGATTGTATGTATCTTAATGGTATAATATGTATTTTTTACTTTTTCTACATATGTATATTTATGTATATATGTATGTATAAATGTATATATGTATGTAAACTAACATATTTATATTATATAATACGTCTTGAATAATATGTGTGAATAAATTTTTCATAGCTCTCACCACACTACCAGAAGTTAGCTGGCATAAAATGCCTTTTGCCATTAAATTTGCCTTTGTACCGTATTTCGTTATTTGAGTGCAATAAATAATTTCTTATCTAACTATCTATTAAATATAGTTAAGCTTATCTCATGAAACATTGTACGAAACCAGGTCAAATGCTTCCAAAAAGTCCAAAAACACGCATAAACCGTTTTTTTTTTCGTAGTGTAATACTTGACAGTATGCTTCAGGCTGCTCTGCGCTAAATGTAACATGAATATTTCTGCGAAAAAAAACTTGATATTTTATTGTTTTCTTTAATAATGAAATTGTGCAGTGCAGTGCCATTATTTTAGAATAACATAGAGTTATGAATCAATTAAAGAGAAAAAAAAAACTAAAGAACTAACTTCATGTGATAAGAAACTTAAATGAGATTTAATAAAAATCACCACACATTCACAAGCACAAAGAAATTGAGAATCAGCTAAGTAGTTTGAGAATCAAAAGGACTGAACTTAAATGCATAGGAATGCAATCACTGGTTTGATCCGCACCGACTCCACTCATATTTCAATTGCAATTTGAAGTTTCGATTTGTCATGTTCACGGTGGTGAAGAAAAACATTGCAAGGAAATCTGCATACCGGAGAAGTAAAAAAAATATTTCGAAAATAATTTATACGTATAGGTCTTGAACAAATTAACCACTGGACCCAACATGAAACACAAATGTATGAAAACTCGTTCAACCAAGTGGAGAATAACGCACACAAAGATTTTATTACGTTAATATAAACACAGACACGAAATGAAAAAAAAGGTTAATTCGTTTAAGGTATAGGTATAGAGCCGTGGTAGATCAGATGGTTAGCGCTCACTGTAAATTCAGTGCTCAGCGGTGAAGGTACACATGGTGAGGAAACCTGCACGCCTGAGAAATAATAAAAAAAAAATTCGAAGACATGTGAAGTGGGCCAACACGCGTTGGGGCAGCTCGACGGACACATCCTTGTCCTTAAAACCCCCCTCAGAAATGAGAGGAGACCTGAGCCCAGCAGTGAGACGTATATAGGCTGTAACTTTAACTTTTATGTGAAGTCGGTCATTCCGCGTTGTTGTCAACTAAATCAACTCCGTTTTGTCCCAAAACTCGCTGCAGCCTGTGCCTGTAAACAATAGGGGAAACCTATGATCAGCGTATCCACTGCTGATTACAGGCTGCCGCCATTGTTTGTCAAATAGACCACACATTTGCAGTCGCATTCACGTTCTTGGCAAGCGGGTTGGGAATCGCAGCTTTGTATTAGTTTACAAGATGCTGCCACACATCTCATGTTTCAGTTTCCCTCTATTGCCTCTTACGACACCCACGGGACGATATGGGGAAGTGCTTTGAATAATAATTTTTATTCACAAATAATTATATTATATACATAATGTAATACATAATACTTCTTTTAAATCGCACGGTGGTGGACCGCCAGTCATCCAAATGGCATGGACGGTATCGCGAGTTTTGTCGCGATGTGCAATGATGAAATTGTGCGGCTGGAATTAGTCCGAACAATTCCTCAGAGCACTCCCCGTGGTAGATGCGATAAAATACGCAAAGAGATGCAGCTTTCTTCGCAGTGCCAGTGAGTCAAGCCGATTGGAAAGTGCTCAGTCGCCGACGATTCTAACAGCTCCGCGGTGGATGCGATCCAATGGAAGGAGCTGGCAGTGAGGAGCCCCAGCCCAGATATGGAAAATGTGCGGCCGAACCTGCGCCTTGTAAAGTTGCAGCCGGTGAGCCGGCATGAAATACTGTCCCGCTCTGCTGAGCACGCCAAGCTTTTTAGACGCTAATTTGGCCTTCTCTTCTATGATATCGAATTTTTTATCTATTTATTTATTTATTTCGAAAACCAACTGCGTATAATGGAAATATTTAACATTAATGTAACAAACTAAAAGTATGGCCAATAACAGGTTTCCCTTATATTGCTTGTTGGTATATTGTTGTTGCATTCAAGAATAATCATAATTTATAATAGAGAATCAGCAAAGTAGCTGAAGAACCAAAAGGACCGAACCGGTTGCCGGTTTGAATCATATCATAACCAAAAGTTTCATTTTTGACGAAAGCTCCTTACTATGTTGCATAATTACTTTGATATTTCTAGCTGACCGCGTTACCTTGTTGTAACAGCACTTATTTGCTACAACTAATAAGTTTCTATCTAAAGGCAAAATTTGTGTAAAAAAAGCAAATTGTTTTCAGCACTGTATAAATGTATGTTTTTCCGATCTGACATTGTATTCCACTCATTTTATCGCGTACATTATATTGGGTACAAATAGGTTAGCACGGCAGTTAAGTAAGGGCTTGTGCTTGTACGAGTACAACCCGCGAGCAAAAGATTTGCCCAAAGCGCCATAACGTCACGTGTCTTCTGAAGAGTTGCTAGCAGGCAGTACTCCTGGGTTAGCTAAGTTAAATTACTACAATCATAAAAATGAATGGGAATAACATGATATATAAGTTAAGTATCGTTGATTTAGCCACGCTGTAGCTATATTGTGGTTTTAGCACGAATGGGTCGGCTCGACCGGGAAAGCGTCACGCTCTCACAGAATATCGGTGTAAAATAGCAGCTTAATCCTGCTGTGTTTGGTATGGTGAGCGTAGAGATTTGGAGACCCTTTTTTATTGGAAATGAGTAAATCCGTCTTATTCCTCAGGGGTGACAACGCATCTGTATTTTTATTCTTAATCGAGGATAGATGTAGCTACGGGCTTTAGCATCCACTTACCATCAGATGACTGTGTGCTCGCTTGTCACTAACTCAGGGGATAAGCGCTTGACGATAGTTTAACGGTAGGCCACCAAACTTCGATCCTCGCTGACACTAATGACACTGTTCATTCCAGTTTTAAGTGGTGACTTACCACGTGCGTGGTGTGGTGTAAATTAAGAAAACCTACATATTTGTAAAATAAATAACTTCGGGAACATGTGAAATCTGCCAAAGCTACTGGAGTAACCCGGTGGACTTATTACTCTATAACCCTGTGGCTAAGGATGCCAGATGTCCGGTTATCGACCGGACAATCCGGTTTTCTTTATGCTTGTCCGGTCACAAAATTCTTGGTAAACCGGACAATAGATTGTCCGGTAGTAAAATAACCGTTCATTATTTCTACCGAACAGTACGAGCGTTTTGTAGGCAATTTATTTAACAACGAAGCAGCGCCAAATTTATTGAAAATCGTACACTATGTGTGTAGTATTCCCATATCTATTGCTTTTGTGGAACGAATCTTCAGCGTCAAGGGAAGTGTATGGACCGATGAAAGAAATCGTCTCGCCATACAAATAGTAAAAAGTGAATTGTGCGTTGTCTTTAATATAAGAATGTTAGTTGCAGTGAATTTAAAGATGCCATCTCAGGCAATAAGACTTTATTAAAAGCAGTCGGAGTTCCAAATATAAAAAAGTAGAATGGCTGTAGTTTAGTAAGTAAGTTTCCAGTACACAAAGTACATTACTAAAGTACATCTAAGTTTACTTTTTTTATTTTTTGTATTAAAGTACATTTTTTTGTAAGAAATGAAAACAAATTTTTTTTTCTTTGAACACATCTGGTCATCACCTGTGGCCAAGAGTGTGCGTGGACGTGTATAGGTTGTTTCATTTCACTTCTTAAAAAGTTTTGACTACAACACTATATATATATATATATATATATATAGGGTAACCTGTCCGACAATGGGCCACCTAAATTTTAAAACTTAATAACTCCGCTGTTTCTTAAGATATTAGGTGTAAGTTTTTAGGCGAAGATAGCAAATTTAATTGGCTACAGATTAGCATTATTTTTTTTTCTTAAAACATTTGTAGATATATCATGACTAAGGTTTTTTTTAAAAAATGGGAAATGATCCATTGTGTACTTATGTGAGTACACAATGAGCCTAGCTATATTTAACAATGAGCCAGGATCCAATGTACTTATTATTTTGTACTATTTGCAATAAATTTGGTAATTTCATTAATAAAACAGTGCTTTTTATTTATAACCTTCGTTTTATTAGTTTATTTTTGTTATATTAAAAAAATACAGAACATTTTTTTTATTTTGAGTGAGTTTTATTAAAGTAAGAGAAACTTAAACATTTTAATAGTTAAAAAATATTATCAAACACTAAAAAAACAACAAAAAATAATAACAATCAGTCTCATAATAAGTAATACTATTATAGTAAAGAAAACTAAAACGAATAAACATCATAGCTAGTCAATGACATTACTATTGCAAATTTAACTTTGGTGATATGCGAAGTGGGAAAACATAAGTAGAGTTTCGGGTTTTTGTGGCATTTATTTTTGGTAGCGGTAGAATCATTTTTATATCTGTAATATTCACTTCAGCAAAATCCGGTTCTAATGGCATGTAGTATTTACATTTCATATCCTCTTTTACTATAAGTCTCATAAAAGACGCTACGTAGGTCTCAGAATTCAAAACTTCTGTTATTACTGCAGCATAATATATTTTTATCTTTTTAGTATTGAATGATACCAATACGTAATCATTACATTTAGTCTTTCTTTCTAGTTCTCGAAAGTTTTCGTTTACCATAGGTAAATTGTCAGCATCAAGATCTTCATCTTCATCCTCTCTACCACTTATATCAGACTCGCTCAAATCTATAACCTCAAAATTTTCCTCTTCACTTGTTTGAGGATCTGATGGAATTACAACCTTCTTTGCTTTCTTCTTTTTCCTTGGTTCTTCGAAATTTTTGTCTTGCAGTATAGGTCGTTTAATTGCACTTGCCGCAGACTTCTTGTCTCGTGTTTTTTTTCGTTCTTCAGCTATCTGATTCTTTTCTGGCGTATCCGTAGCAATCATGCTTTTTTCTAGTTTTCTCGGCTTACGACGTCCAGCTCGTGGTCCACTTTTTAAGGGCAGCATAAATTCTTTAGGTGATTTAAATGTCCGGTCGCCTGTATCTTTCAGAACTTCGTGCATAATTGAAGATGGACTTTGAGAATTTTGTGCTTCAAAAAGAGCCATAATGTGTTCAGGAGTAGTAGATTCCAATAAAGATGGACTTTCAGCACTCCGGATTCCAGTATTATTACCTCCAACATCTTCAGAAGGGTTTTCCTCAAACAGTATTGGACTATGAGCACAGGTAATATCTGATGATAGACTAACAAGATTCTTTCTGTCGTTTAATTGTTCAGAAGGTGCAGCCATTAATTTCGCAGATGACGTTTCCGGTTGGTCTCTATCAGTAACAGCAGATGGCATGAAGTCAATTTCGCTAAAAACGTCTGCGTCGAACGGGAAAATACCACATTTTTTAAAAGCAGAGGTTATATTAACTGGCGTTATTGATTTTGCATATGCGTATCCTACGCACTCGGCTATATTGTATATAGTCATCTGTTTTCCGGGATTTCTCATTAACTATGAATCTACGGCACTATTATAATAGGCTTTGAAGGGACCAATTAAGCCCACGTCAAGAGGTTGATTTTACTTGTTGTGTGGGGGTGTAATGTAAGGATTGTCACTCCAGAACGTTTCGCCATGTCCAAAGCTTCAATACTTAAATGGGATTCGTGATTGTCCATGAATAATAAAGCTGGATTTTCTGAACTTGCAGAGGTATGTTTTATAAAATGCTTCATTACTTCAATAAACAACTCTGCGTTCATCCACCCACTTGGATTAGCAAGTCCGAGGGATCCAATAGGGGCGCCAGTCATCATATAATCCTTTAAGTTCTTCCTTGGAAAAACTAACGCCGGAGGTAAGGCTTGCCCAGACGCACAGACAATAGCACATGTTGTCACTAATGTACCCTTCTCTCCACTAGTTATTTTACAAATATTCTGGCGCCCTTTAGGTGCTATAATTTTTAGCGGCTTCTGAATGGTTGTAGTAGCAGTTTCATCCAAATTGTAGATTCTACGGCCATTTCCAAAAGATGGGTGGCGTTCCATAACGTTCTTTAAGTTATCAAAAAACATCTTAACTGTGTCTTTGTTAAAAGCGGTGGCACGAGCAAGGCTGCAGGATTCTGGTTTTTTCAAGGATAAATACAGATTCCTTGATCTATATGACCGAAGCCATTCAAGGCCTGCCATTTTTTCACGATTCCAACTATCAGGAGTTTTAATATTATTAATAGTTGCCATTTGATAAGCAAGGCTTCGAACGTCTTTAGTGGATACCTAACCCATAAAATTTTAACGCACATTCTTTGATATATTCTGTCAGTGATTTTTCTTGTTCATGAGTAAATATTTTGTTGACATCATAATTGGGTGTCAATCGCTGCTTGTGTAAATCCGAAGTACTAACATTTACATTTTTTTTAATGTAACGTTGCAGTGTTGGATAGCATACATTATACTCTTTAGCTGCTTTTCTGATACTCCATCCTTGCCTATAATGTCTGATAGCCTGAAGCATGTTATCAGCAGTGTGGTTACCTTTTTTTCTTTTATTAACTTTAGTGCGCGCCATCTAAAACAAAAAGTAAAAATTACAATGCATCAGGAAATATTTAACTAAAAGAAAACGTATAACAAAAGAAAAAAATGTTAGTAGGTTATTTGTGTAGATATAATAAAAAACATAAACACTAGCAATGAGCCACATGGCAAACAATGAAACACGATTCGTACACAATGAAACATGGCTCATTGTGTACAACGGGGTTTCGTTTCATTGTGTACTATATGTGACATATTTCTAAAACATTGAAATAAAAATGTAAAATAAAAACAATCAAGTATGTTTTGTATGTAACTGAAATCTGTAGTACATGTACAATGTCAAGCAATATTAAGAAAAAAAGCAAACTTTAACATATAATAATGAAAAATCGACAAATATTATTAAAAAATCTTACTTTTTTGCGTAAAATCCGTATAATGACCGCCACGCGTCTGCTTCGCACGCGCCGCAGTCGCGAACTGGGGCGGTGGGAGGGGACTTGGGGCCGCGTCTTTATGTACTGTGCACTATCTGGCAACTACGCATTTTTGAAATATAGCAATGTTTGTGTACTACTGGCTCAATGTTGGACAGGTGACCCTATATATATATATATATATATATATATATATATATATATATATATATATATATATATATATATATATATATATATATAATATAAAGAGAAAATCCGAGTGTGGGGGGTATTTAGATATATTTTGGGTATTTAGTCGATTTTATTATTATGTAGTGTAGTTAGTTTTTTAAGTTGATTTTCCGAAGTGTTCATAATTATTGCCAAAGCTTGTTTGCATTTTTTTTCTTAAAATATTAGTTATGGTGGTACTTTATGTTCTTGTCTCTCCTCCTCCTTAGTAATTTACCGTTAAATAAAAAAAATTGAATAACCGACTTCAAATAAATAAATTGAGAACAAACCACGTATCAATTACGTCAACGTAGTCGAAGTCAATTAAATACGAATTAGTACTAGGTCAGATCTTGATCAAATTTATATGGAACCACACAAAAAGCAGCTTTCAAATAAAAAAGAATCATCATAATCAGTTTACCTAGAAAAAAAAGCATTAATTGAACAAAGTTTAGACATTAAACGTCCGCAATAAATGCCGCGCAGACGATTTATTTGACACTTCGAAATGTGAAATAGGTAAAAAAGTAGAGTTTTTGCTTTATTTACATATAAATATGCATTTTATGTGTGTGGGAATATTATATTTGAAATAGGTAATTGATACCTACGTGGTATGGTCACGCTGCAGCTATATTATGGTTGCAACACGAATGGGTCGGAGTCCTACGCGGGCCCCGTCTTTGCCCACGCAAACCCTAATATTTTAAATGAACTCCAAATAGTTCAGAACCTCTTCTGTCGTCGAGCTGCGAACGCACCTTGGTACGTCCGTAATGCCGACCTTCATCGGGACTTAGAGCTCCCAACAATTCAACAATTTTTTAAAAAACTCTCTGAGAACTTCTTCAAAGCCTCAGAGTCGCACCCAAACCATTTAATTCGTGAGGCAGCTTCTTATGCAGCCCCACCCCCCCTCTCGCTATCGTGTCCGCAGGCCGAGAAACTCTCTCTCGGACCCGCCTAATAAACTTTCAAACGACCTGAACTGTCTCCTGGCGGCTCAGGGCAACTCTAATTAAATAAAATTATTGTAATGACTAACATTAATTTGCCTTCGTAGGCACTCCCTCAGCGGCACTTAGCCGCCTGCGCCCTCTTTTCCCAAAAAAGGGTCGCTCATGATAAGGCACAATAGAGCTTAATCAGCCGGTTGCCTGTCCCCAAAGGCGGTTTTTAGAGGGTATCACTTAGGGTCCCCGGTAGGACAGTGAACCCCTCATAACCACGATAGACCGGCTATCGTGGTATGCGTAATGCATTTTCCGCCTCCCTACGTATAGGGTAGCCCTTTAATTGCTTCGGGCGCAAAAAAAAAATGGGTCGGCTCGACTGGGGAAGGACCACGCTCTTACAGAATACCTGCCTAAAATAGCAACTCAATGCTGCTGTGTGTCATATGGTGAGAGTAGAGTACTGGAGAACCTTTTTACTGGAAACAAGGCATTCCGTCTTAGTCCTCAAGGGTGACATCTGCATGAATCAGTATTTTGATTCTTATTCGAGGATAAATGTGGATATTGTCTATGGGCAATAGCACACATTTATCTTCGATTAAGAATCAAAATTCAGATGCGTTCTTACCCCTGAGAACTAAAATTAAAACAGTTAAGTTTCGCCTTACTCTGTCCTGTTATATTATATGCAATTTTGTTGGGGTGAAGTACTCGTAGTAAACTTCCATTGAAACCGCCACAAAGAATCCTTTTATCGGATTTACTCAATTTCAGGCCACTTCTTTTGCTTTCTCTGCCAGCATTTCAGCGAGAGACGCACAGTTCCGCAGTTACATTACCACTTGAAAGGAAAGGTTAAACTGACATCAGAAAAGCTTGGTTTATTTACCTGTTCACCGCTTGCAGCATTATGAAGCTGAATTATTTACATAATGCATACCTTGTTCGCACTTGTAGACTTTTAGTGATAGCACTAAATCGGCTATATTTTTAATAGTATCCTATTAATCCTTCCGGGTACCTTCTGGAACCCGTGCATTCTGGTCTCTAGCCAAGGCTGTCCAGGGCAATTTCTGTCAGCCATCTCTTCCATCTCTGCACAGGGAGGACGACTCACTGGCCCATACCGCAAAGGAGAAAGCCGATCTTCTAGGCTCTTTCTTTGCGTCCAACTCGACTCTCGATGACGGGGGGAGTACGCCGCCGACCATCCCGCGGTGTGAGTGCTCCATGCAGGAAGTGCAGTTCACACAGCGCTCGGTTCGCAAAGCACTCCTCTCCCTGGACTTGTGGATACAAGTCGAGTGGACCTGACGGAATCCCCCCAATTGTGCTGAGGACGTGTGCTCCAGAGTTGGCACCGGTTTTAACGCGTCATTTCCGGTACTCCTACTCCCTAGGCGTAGTCCCAAAATCATGGAAGACGGCTTTCGTCCACCCGATCCCTAAAAATGGCGACCGCTCAGACCCGTCCAACTACCGGCCTATCGCCATCACCTCCTTGTTCTCCAAAACAATGGAGTCTATTGTAAACTGCCAGCTCATGAGGTACCTTGAGGATCACAAGCTGATAAGTGACGTCCAATACGGTTTTCGCCGTGGTCGGTCAGCTGGTGATCTTCTGGTCTACCTAACTCATAGATGGGCGGAGGCAGTAGAGTCCAAGGGGGAGGCATTGGCCGTTAGTTTGGACATTGCGAAGGCCTTCGATCGGGTTTGGCACAAAGCGCTTCTTTCGAAGCTCCCTTCCTATGGGCTTCCCGAGAAATTGTGCGATTGTATCACCAGCTTTCTTGCAGATCGGAACATCAAGGTCGTTGTAGACGGTGCAAGCTCCGATTGCAAGCCTATTAATGCTGGTGTTCCACAAGGCTGCGTGCTATCGCCAACGCGGTTTCTTCTGCATATCTATGATATGTTGCAAACCCGTAACATTCATTGCTATGCAGATGACAGCACTGGTGATGCTCTTTACACCGGCCGAGCCGATATTTCTTGGGAAAACGTCTCCGAGTGCCGGAACAAACTTGTGTCTGAAGTCGAGTCTTTGCTGAACAGAGTCTTGGATTGGGGACGACTAAATCTAGTCCAGTTTAACCCCCAGAAGACACAAGTTTGCGCGTTAACCGCTAAAAAGAACCCCTTTGTCGTATCTCCTCAATTTCAAGGCACTCCCCTTGTTGCCTCAGCCAGTATCGGAATCCTCGGCGTTGACATATCGAGTGACATGCAGTTTCGTGGTCACTTGGAAGAGAAGGCCAAATTGGCCTCTAAAAAGCTTGGCGTGCTCAGCAGAGCGGGACAGTATTTCATGCCGGCACACCACCTGCAACTTTACAAGGCGCAGGTTCGGCCGCACATTGAATACTGTTCCCATCTCTGCTTGGCGGTCCACCACAGTACGTTTCAAAAGGAGTTTTCTTCCGCGTAAAACCTCTCTATGGAATAGTTTCCTACCGGCGATTTTTCCGGACCGATACGACCTGGGGACCTTCAAGAAAAGAGCTTACTCCTTTCTAAAGGGCCGGCAACGCACCTGCAATTCCCCTGGTGTTGCGGTTGATCATGGGCGGCGGTAGTCACTTAACATCAGGTGAGCCGTGTGCTCGTTTGTCCCCTCTTCTATAAAAAAAAACTTATAGCAAATTTTTAGGATACGTAACTTAGAAGTATTATTCATATTAAGTTAAAATATAATTGTTGCCTCACTTTATTGCAAAGCTTCTATGCATGCGACTCTACTCTACCGTTTGTTGTACCCGTTGTTACTATATGAAAATTTTCCTAAAACCATAAAACAAGATAAAAAAATGCCACGGCTGGTCACTGGTCTCTATATATACATATGTATAGAGGTCAGTGTGGTTGGCCCATCGTCCGATGTACCCTAAGTCGATTACTCTGGTCTTAACATGGACATACTTATTGGGACGTCTATCCTGCAGAGAAACTCCAAGCATCACCCAACATTATATTATTCTTTATATAGCAAATATTCGGCTGATTTGTGATTAGATCTGACTAGTTCACATCC